TTTAAACAGATTTTTTCCTTTGAGTTAGAGCTGAAAATTCCAACAAGTAGATGTTATGAAAAGCCCTTTCTACACAACTTTATGTAATAACTGCCTTTTTGGTAGATTAGACCAAGTATGTGAGTTTGGAGCCTTTTTTCAGTAGCTTGTAGGTAGTTGTTTGAAAGCCAACATAGCAAGTGCCAAAATTAGCCAGCCCCTTCTGCTTCATGAACAGTTGACTGTTCATGGAGGAGGAAGACGAGAATTAGAAATGTCTGTTTACTCTCAATTGTAAGGTAGCTAGTAAAATAGCAAGGATTTGATCCTGGTTCCCTCCCTCCCTCCTTTCCTTCCCCCCCCCCCCCCCCCCCGAGGCAGGGTCTCACAGTGTAGCCCTGGTTGGCCTGTAACTTGCTACATAGATCCAGCTAGCCTTGAACTCAGAGATATGCCTGCCTCTGTCTCTCAAATGCTGGGATTATAGTCATGTGCCCCCATACCCAGACTTGATCCTGGTTCTTGACTTTTAGGAGTTTCTTAAGCCAGTTCAACAAGGGTTGTGTACCTAGCTATAGTTAACCTCATTGTAACAAAATTCTATCATCACTTTGCAGGTTTCCTGGTTCTAGAGACACTTCCTTCAGGCAGACATAGCACTTTAACACACCATGCTGTATACTGTAACACTCCTTGAGTTTCAAAATTACTTATTAATGCCTCATAACATCTGACATAAAATGTGAAAGTTCCATGCAATGTTGGGGCTTAGCTCTATGGTGGCATCCAGGAACTAGACTCCTTTCACAAAAGCAATGCTGTTATCTTAAGTCTGGCTTCTAAGGTTTCCATAAAAGGGAAAAAGAGCATGAAATCCATGTATGTTTTCATTATTACTGGGCACCATCTAAATGTTCAGCACTAATAGCTTGGATAGTAGTTTGCTCTCAGCCCAGCTCCTTTCCTAAATATGTCACCATCTTGAGTATGTAACTTTTGTGAAGAGAAGAGGATCATGCAGAAGGCTTCAGAATCCAGGCCTAAACATGTGCACATTACTTCTGCCCATGTGCCCTTAGATGGAGTGTCTGGATGGTGTTGCATAGCTACATAGGCTGGCCTAGAGAGTTCAGCATATTCTAAGGAGGGGGAGAAGCACACAGATACTCCTGGGCACTGTCAGTCTGCCACATCTCCTCACTGCTTTCCACAGATACTTTCTTTTTCTCTCTCTCTTTAATGTTGTATTCTCCAGTATTGCATCTGTATCCCTTTGGGCATTTTGTATATGTTTGAGTCTTGACTACTCTTGTATCTTGATGACTAAGATTTGTATTTCTACTCCTGATTTCTAAGATATCTGCCTTTCTGCCTGGTACACTTTGGATCTTCACAGGCATCTCAAACAGCATTTCTATCTTCTTTTTTTCCTTTTCTCCCAGCTTCCCAACCTCATCCATAATGTGTCTCCTTTATTTACACTTGGAGGTTTTGGTGTTACCATGACCTCACACCCCATGCTATAAATCCATGACTCATCTTAAAGACTCCCCTCTCTCCTCCTGTACCTAGTCAGTCACTAAGTTTAAGTAATAAGTTTTATCTCTCACCTAAGTACTTTTTGTCCATTTTTTCTTTCTGATTTCTACTCTTCCTTTTCAGACTCTTGGATTGTAGCAGTCGTTTTGCTTCTAGTTTTGTTTTCTTCATTTCTATCAACCTCTTGTGGCCACAGTGGTTTATTGGAAATGCTACATGAGGATGGTAGATTTGAAAGCAAAGCTAGAGGCAAACCTACTGCCCTTTCTGACTGCCTTAGTGACCCGCCTAACTTCCTTCAAACTTCTGACTTTGCTTTCTGGGCCAGAATTACATCATTTCTCTTTTTCCTATACAGATTCTTGTCCTATTTTATACCTTTGAGTCCTGGATCAGACCCTTTAATTATAGTGAAAAAGCTGTTTATAATCTACATGAAATGCTTTTCCCAGCTTAAAAAAGAATCTCCTTGACTGTTAGCAATCTTTGAACACTTGGCTAAAATATTCTCTTCCATCTCTGCCTTTCCATTAGCTATAGATTCTTGCTTAATTACAAACTCAAGAGAAAGGATCATGTTTTGTCTCTGTATTCTTAGTATTTAGTCTTGTGTCTCCCCTGTGCCACCCCCCTCAAAGCCCTCACAAGGACTTTTCACCTTTAGGGACATTGGAAAGCGATGTCTGGCTCATGAGTGTGTATGTGCTCTTCTAACCATATCCCATTCTTTTCCTGAAAAAAAAATTAGTGGTTTTAGTCTTTAAATTGATTCCTTTTTTCCTCCACTGACCATGATCATGCTAGAATGAATGACTGCAAGATAAGAAAAGCTGTGTTTTCTTAAATACTGGAATTTGTGGAAAAGTTATACAACTTGAAAGCACACACAGTTCTTATAAAACATAAGGTTTTGATTTCTTTTAAAAAAAGTTTTGCTAAGGTCTACTCAAATAGTTGATGCATTTATTATTTTCAGTGACTGGAAATAAGAGAAATCAAAATATAATTTTGCTAATAATGCCTATTGTTCATTTGTGTGCGATAATATATTATGCTTTATTCCACAAAGTATTTAAGGCAAAAGTTCATTTTGTGTATTCTGATAAATTTGGAATATTTCTGTGTAAGGTAGAGAGTTTCTAAATATTTTGTAGGAATTGGAAATCCATTTTTATTATTTATTCAGTATTGATGAAATATTCTTTATAACCATATTTGTAACTATTACTTAGATTCATAGCTTTTTGTTCCATTTTGTTTTTTACCAAAAAGCAGAACTCTAAATAGTCAAAAGGGATGTTATCTAGATATATGCCTGTGGGAAGCAGGCGCGGTTGAGCCGGCGAAGATGGCGCCCTGGCTGGCTGCCAAGCCTCGTGCCCCTCACTTGTTTACTCCAACCTGCGCAAGCACAATAAGCCCGATCATGTGCTGCCTGCTTGATCAGAGACATCATCGAGCATGATCCTGCTACATGGCCCAATAAGCTGCCACTCTGCCTGCCCGCTACGTGTGTGTGTGCCCTGATTGGTCCTGGCTGGGGGGAGGGCTGTTGGGAACGCTATATGAAGAGCTGAAGTGTGTAATAAAGAGAGAGTGAGTGAGAAAGAAGCTTGAACCTCACCTTGGCGTCTGTGTCGTCTTTCCTCGGCTCTGCTGGTCAGAGTCATGGCTTGCGGCATATGCCACTATAATGTAAGCTAATCCTCACTCTTCATGAATCTTAAACTTTTGTAGCTGTAAGAATCATTATTTTCTTAAAACTTCATATCAAAATCACTAATGACCAGGATTTAGAAGGATTATATTTCCATTTTTTAATATTGCTGCATTATTAAAGGCTAGTATCAGTCTATAAAACTCCATTTTTGTGTGTATGTATGGGTGACTGGACTCACTAGCTAAGCGGCTATAAAACTGTGTCTTAGTTCTGGATGTGACTTAGCTGGGTCTCTGACTCAAGATCTCAGGGTTATAATCAAGGTATCAGCCAGGGCTATGAGCTCTTTTGAATGTTCAACCAAAGAGAATGTGCCTGAATGCCCACTCATGGCTGCTGGAAGGATTCAGATCATCCTGGTGGCCAGGAGCCTCTACAACGTCCTTGTCAAGTAGACCTCTTTCATAGGGCAGTTGACAACAAGGCAGCTGACTTTCATGAGAACAGCAGGAGACTAGAAATACAGAATCATAATCTTTTTGTAACCTAATCTTGGAAGTGATAGTCCATCACTTTCTTCATGCTCTCTTTGTTAAAAAGAAAGTCACTGAGGTGTGACCTGCACATGAGGGATGATCATACAAAAGATGTGGATACAAGGAGAAAGCACTAGTAGAAGCCATTTTAGAAGCTGTATGCTTTTGGCCACTTGTATGTGATGGTGAATCTATATTTAGTGGGTTTGAAAACTGTTAAGAGTATAGACAGCACACCAATGACATAATATTTACCTAGCACATTTAATAAGATAGCCAGATCCTTGTAACCTACTAAGATGTAAAAATAATTTTATGGGCTTCTGCATTAAAACTGTGTTTTTATTCCTACACAGTGCATCCCTTCTTCTTGGTCTCACTTGCAGAATGATGGAGTGTTAGTCCTTTACAAACATTTTTACCGTTGGGCATGTCTGACTATTGGGAAAATAAACAAAGTAGTTTTCTTTAAACTTTTCCCAGATATTAAAACACCAGTATTTACAAAAGTGTATTTAGGAAATTAGATTACTCTAGATTAATTCTGAGAGTAAAGTTATTCCCATTTTGTGTAGTTTTTAATGATATTAAAATAGGTGGTGTTATTACATACATTTTTGGTATAGTAGCTCTGAGTTTCTGACTCTAGGAATACTTATACCTACAAACACACAAATGAAAAGTCTTACTGTTTGAGAGGAAGGGGCTGGGATGAATGGCTACTATACTGTGTTAGTCCTAGGAAACGTATTATCCTTGCATGGTAGAAAGCTTTGAAGCTTTCTTCTTTGTACTCATTATTCTTACCCCAAACCACTTTAACTCTTGGCTCAGAAGCTACTTTAACAAACAGACATGGCAACTGGCCTGAAAAAATGACATTTTCATATAATATTTTAGTGTTCCTTGGTTCAAAACTTGGCCTGTGTGATCTAATAAATGTGCTGTTTGTGTTGAAAATGTGTAGTCAGTACATTAATTTTTTTCATTAACAGGCTTTCAGGATGTCATTTTTTTCTCTACATAGAAGTATCGTGGTTTGTTTTATAGTTCTATAAAAGATTTAGGTCTAGGGAGGGAGTAAGTGGATCGCATAGATGCCTAATGTCAGTTCCAGAATTGCATCTAAATCTCTAGATTTCTCATAGTGACAAAAATTACCCACAGCAATAAGTGTTATTAAATTACACTGAAGCTATCCAGCTGTTCTTTAGGATTCTATATAACATAGTTCCTTTCTGCATTATTCCCACTAATTTGAAATTCACCTTTTTTCTCTTTTGCAGGTAATATCATATTACAAAGCAAGATGGGTAATATCACAGTAGGTATGTGCCAAGATACTAGTTGGTATAGCTTATAACACTTATATTCATGATCATACTGGACAGCTTGATACACTTGATACACCTCAGTTGAGGGAGCCTCAGTTGGAGAATTTCCTCTGTTGGACTGGCCTGTGGCCATGTCTGTGGGGCATCTTCTTGATGAGTGATATGGGAGAGCCAAGCCCATTGTGAGTGGTGCCACCCCTGGGTAGGTGGGCCTGTGTTGCATAAGAAAGCAGGCTGAGGAGGGGCCAGGGAGCAAGCCAGTCAGCAGAGTTCCTCCATGGCCTGTGCTCCAGCTCCTGCCTCCAGGTTCCTGCCCTGAGTTTCCACCTTGGACTCCCTGATGAACTGTGACCTGGGAGATGTAAGACAGACAAACCCTTTCCTTCCCAAGTTGGTAGTGGTCAGAGTGTTTTGTCACAGCAACGGAGAGACAAACTAGAACAGAAATTGGTACCAAGAGTGGGGTATTGCTGTGACAGACCTGACCTTTGTGTTTTGGGGAACACTGTGGAAGTGTTTGGAACTTTGGGCTGGAAAAGTCATTGCGTGCTCAGAGTTTGTTGCAGTGGAGCTTGGAACAGTTATGCTGAAAGAGTTGTGGACAATGGAGGCCTGGCTTGTGAAGCTTCTAAGGGAAGCTGAGACCATCAGGGCTGTTCGTGTGAGATTTTCGATTGAGAATCTTTGGGTTCTGGTTGGCTGGGGCTAAAGAATCAGCTGTGATTAAGAAGAGACCAGAACCTGAAGTAAAATCTTTGCTTTTCTGGGACAATTGATGCTGGTTAGCTGGGGCTGAAGAATCAGCTGTAAGTAACAAGATACCAGCATCACTGCGGTGAAGTCTTTTGGGAGGTATTTCCTCAGGGTCAGCACACAGAGGGGACCCGCACCTCTATTTCAAGCTGGAAGCAGGACTTGGTAATGTGTAAGAGTCTCCTGCATGGTTCTGGTGTTGAAAGTGTGAAGGGGTCACAGACAATAGCTGAGGCTTGGCACTCTGAGAGGCCATAGGTGAAAGTACAGCTTCAGTTGCAGTGAAGACCCTAGGATTGAAGGGGTCATGGAGAGAATCTGAGGCTTTGCACTTGGAGAGGCAAGAAGAGGCCACTGGTGAAGGTGTAGCCGCAGTTTCAGTGGAGACCCCAGCTTTTTGGAGATGACAGGACCATGGGATGACCACCAAGGACAGCAGTAGGTATGGAATGGAGCTGGCCTGGGTCTGCCAGATGAGTGAGTGCTGCGGATGGCAGAGTCAGAGAAGTGGAGCTTCCAAAACCCCTTGGAGCCCAGAAGATCATGAGTGAATCCCAGCCTCGAGCTACTTTGCTGGATTTTTGGTTTTGCTTAGGTGTGTCCGATTCTTCCTGTTGAAATAAGACAGTACGTGTTTTGGATTTTATAGGATCCCTCAGTAAAAAACTTTTTAAAGAGACTATGGACTTTTAAGTGTTTGGATTTTTTTAAGGACTATGCGGCTTTTAAGGTTGTACTGTCTTACATTGTGATATTAACATCATATCTCGGGGACAAGAATTAGAAAGGTTGTGGTTTAATAGTGGTCTGTTCGTGTGTCAAGTTGACAGGGGGTCAATTGTGCTGGATAGCTTTAGTGTCAACTTGACACACCTGGGTTGAGGGAGCCTCAGTTGGAGAATTTCCTCTACTGGACTGACTTCCCTACCATGGTGGACTGCACCTTCAAACTGTGAATAGATATAAATCCACTCTTTTTTAAAATTATTTATTCTTTTTTTTTTACTCTTTCTTCTTCTTTTATTTATTTAATTTTTTATGGGCCTTTTGGCTACTCTAACATTCCCCTCTCTTCAGAACTAACCCTAAAATCTTTTAGGATTAGATAAAAGCTCCCAAACACTTTAGACGTTTTTGGCCTTTGGAACAGAATATGTTGCTAAGAGGCCCAAGGACATTATGAGTTTCAGTCAAGAAACTGGCTACTTTTCTTTGGGGTCTTTTTACCCTAACTGCCTATCCAAGTCCTATGTCCTATTCTTATCACACTATCCTCTGAAGAAGTTACCTAAATTATTGATAGGGAGTAGGGAGGCAGACCACTCTGGCCTTCTGGCTTCTTCCATGCTGAACAGGGACACAAGGTGAGAGGCAATTGGAGTACCCCTTCAGTGGGTCTATCTAAAAGACTCCCGAATTGTATAACTCTTATCTGTAGCAGAAAAAGAAAGTCCTTGACTGGTGAATAGCAGATGTGAAGGAGAAGTAAAGGCAAGAGTAATTAGCACTACAAGTTCTAGACATGGAACTAGACAAAAGTCAGAACAAGGCAATTTTCAAATGTTCATATGAGAGTCCAGTGGAATTTCTTGACAAGGGCTTCCGAAAGCATCCCTCTATTTCCAAAAGCATCCCTCTATTGGGTCCCTCCTGATTTTTCTTTTGTCTTCCAAAGCTGGACTCTAGAGTGATGGGTTCAGGATTTGCTTTCAGGTATTTTGATAGCTGTTGGAGGGGTTAGAATCAGTGTCAGTTCCCTCTCAAAGGCTTCGAAATAGGGGGAGCAAACAAATTTGTCCATCATTTTAGAACAATAGCAGGTTGTCTCCCTAAGCTACATGTGGGCACTACAATATTGCAGACCAAGATTTGAAGTCGTCCATCTGAGCAGCACTTTCTGATTAGGAATAAAATCGTTAATGAGAAATAATTGTCTAAATAACTTTTTTTTATAACTTAAGCCTAATGTCTTGGAAGTGTAATCCCTTGAATTCTTAAAGAAATATACTAATGACTTTACGCTTTGGTTATACTTTCCTTTTGGGTGTTTAAGACCATACAGTTGGCCCAAATAAATCAATTTATCTTTACACTTAAGGTCATTTGAGGATCTGTTCCTCAGGGGTCACATGGGCTTGGGA